CGCCGCTCCCCAGAGCGCGCCCAGAGGCGATGACTCATGTGTCACAGCCGCTCGCGATTACTTGCGCCAAAATAAACCATCATGCCATACACGTTCGGGCGCACTGGAATATAAATCGTTCATTTTCAATCGACTTTTCCAAACTATTTGAAGTCATATTTCGTAATTTTGGAGAAGTTCCAGTTCTAGAAAAAGACGAAGAGGCCGGGAAAAGCAATTGCAGTTTTAAAACAACGTCGATGTTTCGTTTGGTAAATTAATTAATCGACTAATCTTCGTTCCGAAACAAAACTACCTTCCAAGACAGTGCAAGGGAAAAGTTAATAAATGAGGGGCGTTTCTTCTTGGTGCTATTTCCGCGGCAGGTGGAGCACGTCAAATAAGTTTGGGTGTCGGTTGAGCGCTACCAGAGGTGCACGCGGCGGAAAGAGAGACAGAGGAGGAGGATTGGGGGGGGGGGGCGGAAGGAGCAAAGCCAGCCCAATAAAGGTGGACCTGCCCTCGTCCTTCCGGCCCGCCGCCGCGGGAGCAGGAAGATCAACACGGACGTAGGTCATTGGCGCTGGGCCAGGCGCGGTCCCGAGTCAAGGGCAGCGCGACCTCCGCGGCCACGGCCTCCACGGCGTGCGGGGCGGGGCGGGGTCAGGGCGCGTCCATACCCCTCGCGCGTCAGCGCCGGCCGGGGGAATACCCCGCGAGAGATGAAGTACAGTCCTCTGGAGATCCAAGTGTGCGAATGTCGCACAAATGTAGGCGTGTGAATTTTGATTCAAATACTTGAGGACACAAGAGTTAAATTTTCCTGGAAAATTTACGCCTGTGCTTTGGTCTAAATGTGCGAATAGACATTTATTCACCAGCAAGTGTGTGATATTCGCACACTTGGGTTTTTAGTGCCAACAGTCAACAGTCACAATTACCTCGCTGGAGCTGCTGCAGCTGGGCGGCGCTGCAGTAGTCGGTGTCGCTGCCGCTGGAGGTGCTGGAGGCGCCCGTGCTGCTCGACGCGTCCGTGCAACCGGCCGAGTCCACGGCGCCGCAGTCGCCGCACGAGCCGGCCGACGAGAAGCGCCGCCGCCCGCCGCCGCCGCCCAGGATGTCCTGGCACGACTCGTACTGCGGGTGCAGGTGGAGCGGCGGCGGCCGCGACTTCTTGTGCGAGCGCGCCCGCGGCGGCCCCGAGGACGCCGATGACGCCGAGGACGCCGTCGAGCCGTCGGCGCCGGGCACCACGACGGGGCACGACGCGTACATCGTGGCGTCCCCTCCGGCCGGGTACCGGTTCAGGCGCATTCTGCAACAGAGAGGGGGACACAATGAGGACGGGCGGGAGCAGAGCCGAGCAGAGCCGCGGGGCCGCGGGGCAGCGCACACCGCAACAATGGCGCTCATCACCACCTGTTGACGATCTCTGACACTCGAGTTCCAGTTTCACATTTAGCTGTCCGTTCCGTTCCCAACCAACCCCGCGGTGTGGCTGCACTTTCTCCCCATGGCCCGGGCCGGGCCGGGAGCCGGGCCGCGAAGTCACGGGCGGCCAGCCACCGCGCCGCGGCCACCACCGGGGGGCTCGCGGCCTGCGGGGCGGGGTGGAGCGGCCGCTGGGCAGCACGCGCCACCGGGCGGAGCCATTACACGGAGATAAGGACCACTCGGGATTATTGAAGCGGAAATGAAAAGCACACGGAAGGCCCAGACGCAGTGACGGAGATATTCGTTCCAATCGTTCAAAAGGGATTAAACGCTTGGCACAGAGACAGACGCAGCATTAAATGTGAAAGTCAAGAAGTGTTTTATTTTCGTGTCCAGCAGTGGCGCGAGTCGGTCGTACTGCGGGTCGTACGTCTCGTCACGCCCATCAGCGGCAGCGGTGGCGGACGGCGCGCGCGGGACCCAAACACACACACATGGCGGGCAGGCGAGCCTCCGCGGCGACGAATTGAATGAATTAGAACTCGGGCCGCCCACTCACCCACAGCACAACGCAGCACAAGGGCCCGGCGAAGCGAGCGATCCACCGAGTACGGTGCAGCAGCAACTATAGTGGGTCGCATGTAAGATGGACGATTTTCCCTATGTACACCCAAGAGTAATGATACTAGTTGATTCATGGCTATTTAAATGGATTCACGACTTGGTTCAAGTGATATGTAATTGAATAATCAAGGATCAAGTACAATGCACTTGGACCCAGAACTCAGTTTTTGGGGTGTAGAAATCCCCTGTATGGAGGCTACCCACAATACTAACTCGCCTACTAGGCCTTAGTTAACCCCCGCTACTGGTGAGAAGGGTGCTAATTGTTGCTTCTTGGCAAATAAAAACGACCCCATTAAAACAACAACGAGCAGAACCCATTAAACGTAGAAAATTCTTCTCCACGCCTTCCCCTTGTCGGTTTACGTTCAATGAAACGTGTGTAAGAACTCCTCTTTCTCCCAGACGCAGGCACTGGCACACAACTCCCATCATCCGTCTACGAAGCGCGTCATCGCGCATCTGCTGCGCCTGTCCTGAGGAGCCTTCCCCCTCCAGGCTGGAGTCTAAATACGTCGCGACGTCGACGAGCAGCGAGAAAAAAAACAACTCGCGCCTATGCCCGTCTATGCCGTAATAAACAACGAGAGCATTTTGTTGGCGTCCTCGCACCGCTTTTTTCTGCAGCGCTGCAACACTGCTGATGGTCCTCGCGCATGCGCTGCGGGGGTAGAAGAGCCAGAGCGAGGCAACGAACCGAGCAACGAACTCATTTGGGCGGGCCAGGCCATCCCGTTGCAGCCATGTATTTTTTTGTTGTTCATATTTTTCTTGACATGAATTATACACGAGATTATACATACAGTTTCTTCCCCTTTCTTTTTTAATATTTTAATTTTGCACTGCATTTTATAATGATCCAGTGATTTTTGCGACTTCCTGCTTTTCGGCCGAAGAGGCCAGGGCAGACGGACGCGCCACCGCCCGTCCCCTCCCCTCGCTCGTCCGGTCCGGTACGCCCCGTGTGTGCGTTCCGATACCGCTCATTCGCCGCCCGGCGCCATATTCACACGGCGTGCAGGCATTATGCGCACGATCGCTCACTATGAATATGCATCACGCATCGGTACCCGGACGAGTCGACCGGACGTCGATGAAAGGTAGCTATAGACTAATTATGGCGGACCGTTTTGCTGCGTCGGGCGGGGCACTTTGTACACACATATGCCTGTCGTTCTGCCGACATCCTCGGCACGCAATAATCAGCGCGCTACACTGTAAAAGAAAACTCGAGCGGCCTTTCGAAAGAATGCCAAAAAATTTGCATGACGACACAGAAAAAACGACGTCCTAGGGTATTCTCAGGCACTTTTGAAAAAAAAGAAAGACAGGACGTCATTTTTACCGTGAAAGATACCGAATACTGCAAAACTGTTAGAATTGAAAATTGAAAAGAAAAGTCAGAGTTTGCGGTATGAAACCGAATTCACTTTAGAGTCCTGAAAAACTAAAGTAACAAGGCTACCAAAGTTGCTATGTGCTATGTATTGTAAACTTACATGTGCTTCTCAGACGAGCCAGTTTGTAGACGTGTAGACCTCGGAAGTCACTCGGATTTCTGTAACAGAAGAAAGCACACGGTCAAAAACAATCTAACGCCGGCGATTTCAGTGACGACTAGGGAGTTAGGAAAAA